GTTGCCACGCACATATATTGACTTTAATCAAATCTTGCTATATTAATATTGATAGAGGTGGGTAATGTAGAAACATATATATATATATACTCTGTTTGTTTTCTAAATAAATTTTTTGTAATAGGAGATGTTGATAATTTAGATTTATATTTGAGGGGTAATTCATTTTTCTAATAATGAGATGAAAGTTGTGTTATGTAAATTATCGATCATAAAAAGAGGACATCGGTAATGCAAATTTAGGTCTACCTTAGATCATTTTTCTTAATGACATACGTGGACAATATAAATTAGTCTCATGAGTTAGTTTATATTGCTTTATACAATAGCAGAAGTGGATAATTATTTAGAAAATAGAATAAATCCAATAGCTATTATTATTAGGAAAAAGTCTACTCCACCCCCAAATATGGGTGTGGTCTACGTAATCCCATCAACTATAAAACGGTCTGATTTACCCCCTGAACTTTTCAAAACCGTCTATTTTACCCCCCAGGTGGTTTTCAACGGTGGTTTTGCTACAGTAACGGCGTGTTGCTACAGTGGCAGGGGTTTTGTCTTTTTTTCATATTTCCGCTGAATCTTTGAAAAATCATAGTAAATCACTGAAAAATCATAAAATGAAAAATCTAATTTTGTTGGACTCCGCATGAGTAGATCTACACAGTGAACATATAATATGATACACTTTAGCACATAACTTTTACTGTAGATTTCTATTAATTAAAAAATCTAATTTTGTCCGTAATTAATTAGAATTTATCTATAACTAAGTTATACATGGTCCAATGAATACGAAATTTTTACTATAGTTTAAACATATAATAATTATCCTATCATAAAAATTTCACCACAATTGGACCATAGAAGTTGCAGCTATGAATTATTCTAATTAATTACAGACAAAATTGGATTTTCCAATTAATCTAAAGCTACAGCAAAAACTTTGTACTAAAGCGTACTATATTATATATTCTACTCATGTGGAGTACAACAAAATTAGATTTTTTATTTTATGATTTTTCTGTGATTTACTATAATTTTTCAAAGATTCAGCGAAAATAAGAAAAAGACAAAACCCCTGACACTGTAGCAAACCCGTCGTACTGTAGCAAAACCCCTGTTACTGTAGCAAAACCGTCGCTGAAAACCGCCTAGAGGGTAAAATAGACGGTTTTGGAAAGTTCAGGGGGTAAATCAGACCGTTTCATAGTTGAGAGGGTTATGTAGACCACCCCCTAGTTGCGGGGGTGGAGTAGACTTTTTCCATTATTATTATCAATAGTGATTAGGTTATACCTAATTAATGGTAAGATGTTTATGGTTTTATGAGAATTTCTAGGATCTATCTTTTGTTTTCGTATCAAGTCTTATGATGATTAACATGCAGGCTCCAGTGGGACTTGTTGTTAGAATTTCTAGTATTTATCTTTTTCCTCTAGTATAATATATATTTAGTCAAAATTTAGTATTAAAATATATAAACTCTTGATACAACCCTTTTCGTGAAATTGTAAATCTATAGTTTATCTTTTAACTACTAATCAAGTTGTTGCAATTTTTTGTATGCTAATTAGCAATTCTAGTATTCTTTATCTTTTATTCAATTTTTTTATTAAAAAGAGTCTAGGTCCTAGTAGTATTGTTTTCCACATACGTTGAAACTCGGCTTGCATCCCGACACTAAACATGTTGAATTTGTTATATCATAGGATAAATTCTGTGTAGTATTATTTATGTATCACAGTGTATAAAATTAAATTAATAATATTGATATGACACAATGTTTTAGTAAAAACATATAAACTTATTTAGAATAATAATTTATGAAATTTATTATCAAGGAGTATAAATATAAAGTGTTATTGCGACGTGGTTTGTTAAGTGAACATTTTTTTCATGTTTCATAAGTTATTAAAATAATTATTTAACCTAATGTATACATATTTATTTGATATACATGGTGAAATTATAGTATCATAATTATTTTATTTCATGATTATAGAAATATGTGAATTAGAAATATATATGTATCGTACTTCATGATATTGATTTATTTTTTAATAATATATAATACTATTTGTGTGTAGATTTCAGAGATTTTTGTTTATTCTTTATAATGACTAAGGTACCTACAAATATAATGAAATACAGTTATATTATCTTTCATAATGACATATATGGATATGTGAAATGCAAAGTTAAAATATTACTTTCCATTATCTTTCATAATGATAAAGGTAGATAATTTATAAAATCATTAGGAGTTATTTTAAACTATCTTTCATAGTGGCATATGTGGGTAATTTAGATACAAAGTTCGAGGATTAAATTATCTTTCATAATGACAAAGTTAGGTATTTTAGACGTAATGTTAGGGGGTTATTTTAAATTATGTTTCATAATGGCTAATGTGGGTAATTTAGATGTAAATTTAGGAGGTTATTTTGAATTATCTTTTGTAATGTCAGAGGTGGGTAATTTACATGCAAATTTAGGGCGTTACTTTATCTTTTTTTCATAATGACAGTGGTGGGTAATTTTTCAATAAACTACAGATCCAATGCCCATTATCGGTGATGATGATTATAGTCTACCAAATCAAAGGTCAGATATTTCTAATTATTGTGAGAATTTCTAGAATTTATCTTTTTTTCTAGCGCGTCTGGTGAGAATTAATGTGGTGCCTCCGTTGAGGCCTCTAATTAGTAATGGTAAGATAAGATGGTGTCGTAGAGATCAGATTTCCAGTTTTGGGTATAGTCTAAGGCCTAGAACTTTCAGGCTGTTGAACTCTTTTTTGGACCTGATGATGTAATCTTCAACATTGTCCTGGGAGACATTCACTTTAACTCTAAATGGAGAAATTAAGGTTGTCTTTCCTCGAGGGCCTGTTCGCTTGAACTTATCAGCCGGTTTATCAGCTAGAATTTATAGTATTTTTCTCTCACAACAAATCAGCTTCAGCCGGCTTATCAGCCGTCTTTAATACCAGCCGAACAGGCCTGATAGAAATTAAGATCTGTTTGTGAACCTGATTTTGCCTAATGTTGTGAAGATAGTTTAAACATGGCTTGGTAATGCACAATTTTTTTAGAAAAACAGAGTTGTGTATGCAATAGTATAGGAACTATGCTTGACTATAGAAACATATACCTTCTCATAGTAGCGGTAGTGTTAGCATGGGTACACTACTAGTATTGTAAAAGCATCAGATAGCTGAGTGGATGATGAATCTGCATGTGTTCGTGAATAGTACGGAAGGCTGAAGATACGTACATGAGAGGCAAACATGTGCACTAGGTGAATTTACTGCAGAATCCTTGCATGCTGAATAGGAGGCATGACTTGGTTTCCATTGAAAGTGAAGGACGTGCAGCAGCTGCTTGCATCCGCGTTACCGCGTCGTATAGCAACAGGTGTCTCGCCCGGTGGGTTAGGACAGCAAGGGAACAGGGACGCTGCAGCAGTTATCAACCGCAGATGGCTAATCATAAACTTGAAGCAACGAGGGCAGAGCAAGTATAGTTGCAGATTAAAAATAATAGCAAAGACGTCATACGAAGAGGCTCACAAACTCCGACGACGTTGATTCCGGATGAACTCCGTTCGAATAGCGATGACGTTGGTGTAGCTCCAGATTGAGGTGGGACGGTAACGCATGCATCAATGAAAAACAATCTACAACTTTGTAGCTCCAGATTGTTGTATTTAAAAAGATCTACAACTTTGTAGATGAATATTTTTTCATTTGAAATCATTGAGGGCTTAAAAATTATGTTTTATGATTAATGATTTTAAAATTCATATTTTTCTAAATTTCTTAAATGACCTAAGACGAAAAACGATTAAAACCAAAGTTGTACTTCAGCAGTACCTTTCAGTGAACGAATAGTGTTTTCCTCTCACTACAAATCAGCATAAGTATAAGCATAAGCTAAATTTTAGCGAAACGAACATGGCCTCAATGGGACCTAAGACTTCGTAGTTGAAACTTTGTTTCTTTGAATCCATTTAGAGCTTGAAATATATATTTTAAAATCTAGTGTATTGAATATTAGGGAATATTTCTGCTATTAAGTCACAAGTGACTTTGGAGTGAAGTAGTAGTAAGATGTGTAACACAGCAAGGCCTGAGGTTCTGTCAATTCCTGGGAACTGCATATGCGCGTATTTCAGATGAAAATGAAAAAATGCTAAAAACATATGCGCGTATTTCTCGTGAAAATAGAAAAATGCTAAAAATCGTGTGTGCTACCTAGTGGGGCCCTCCCAGGATAAAATTAGTTTTGCAATTTTTTGAGCCTGATTTGCAATCTTTGAAAAATTATTTACACTCGTGGTTTCCTTAAGAAAACCGCTAGTCTAAATGAATTTAGAGTGGCGGCTTCTTTAAGAAAACCGCCAGTGTAAATATTTATGGTGGCGGTTCTTAGGTGACACCAGTAAAGTTTGTTAATTTTTACTGGATTTCATACTGACGGTCGATAAAAGAATCAGTACAAATATGAAAAGTACCACTAGTAAAGATATTTTATGTACTAGTGATAAATATTAGACACTACCTGCTATTCAAAAAGAATAATACAATATATCAATAAACAATAGGGAAAATAAAGACCACTATCGGGTTTAAGCAACTGAACGGGCAGTGAGTAGAATATAGTCACTGTTGGGTACAGGCCTACCCCTACAGGCTTACCCCGACAATTACACAGATCCGGCAATGACACTCATTATATCAATAAGTTCAGTACCTGGTTGAGGCATGAACCGACGGTGACCTAGATCATATCAGTGCTGGTTAAAGATATATAGATATAGATTAGTAGACCATTAGTGTTTCACATATGTCCATAATCCTTTGGAAACATAATCAGCATTCTCTTTCATCATGCTGATTCAGGAACACTGACTTCTTCATACTACAAAAATAACCTTTACAACATCAGTGAAACATATGCTGAAGCTTAGGGATCGCAGCTATTCATACAGTTTCCTCATTGTGTTTTAAATTTCCCACTGCTTGGATCAGGCAGTGTCTCTCCCAACCATTGCGCACACTGTTTTAGCCTCCGGTTTAAATAAATTAAGGTTGAGTGCAGTCTCTGACTGAGATGGATAAAGCGTCTGCCAGCAGCAACAATGGGGTCAAGATACCTCAGAAACCGTCTCTTATTCTCCGCGGGGCCGAGCAGTAAGAACAGAAATAGGTATACGCTTAACAAAATAGCACGGCCAGTATCAACAAGTATGTAATTTATGAAATCACCATGCGTAGCCGACATCACAGCCAGTACAGCCGCCGCGATCAAGCAATTTTTCGCAAAAAACTCGAGCAGCTTGACAGGCACTTGAGAAACTGGCTTGCTCCCTGGCCACTGTCGTAGCATGCACATGCTGAAGTAGGTCAGACATCCTGAAATGCTGCATGCGCGTAAGGCTCTGGTTCTCCCTTTGTATTGATAAGCGGGAGAGGTTGTGTATCCCAACACCACAAAAATTACAGCCACGATGCTCTTACGTAATATCCCTGAGTGAATGCTCAAATCAGAGTCAGCCACACCGAGCCGGAAGGGAATCGTGAACCATACGAGCACTGTAACAAGCTGTGGCGTAAAAACCAACGCCGTATCTTCCCTCGCCCATTCAGCAGCTTCGGTATGCACAGTTATCGTCAGCACAGTAATGCAGGTCCTGTAAAAAATATGCAGAACTTGAGCTCCACCAGGACTCGTTGCCACAGGCAACAACGCTATCATGATTGCCACTGCACCGAGAGACGAACTCAAGAACCACAGGAACTGGGATAGAGCCAAAGTGTTGGTGGGAAAAATCGCCTCGAAGTACAGGGCACAGTATGGTAGTGCAGTAAGAACTAGCAGCTCTTCAACTCTCTTACTAACATCATCTTTGACATAGTAACCAGTGTCCATTTTCAGTCCACTTTTCAACCTCAACTTATTCCACAATGCCGCGATGAAAATAAGGATGGCAATGGGTACGATAATAATTTTAATATAACTCATGTTAATCAGAAGCAACATTCCATAAGCTGTGATCACCACAGAAGCACTGATGATATAGTTCTCGGTTCCAGCAAATCGGCTGTGGCTCCACACTGAACTCTGCATTTGAGAGCACAGTGTTAGCAGGCTAACGACGAACTTGCCCGCCCGAACAAGGGCTCCATGCTGATGAGAAGTCCTCGGTAATCCTGGAACCACCTGCAAATATAGTAGGATCGCCGCTAACCCGAGCTTATGAACCCCAAACAATTTAACCCCTTGGTCCATCCTTTCCTGGCTCTTCGTGCTGGTTAAATGCTGCTCATCAATTCGCGAGCTTTCAATCTGTTCTTGTTGGTCCGTTGTTTGCTGTCTTGTTAACACGCACTGCTGTTCGCCAACTCGTGTGATTTCAATCTGTTCCTCTTGTTCCATAATTTGGATTTCGTTGCTCGTCTTGCTGGTTAATGGCTGCTCATCAACTCGAGTGATTTCCCCTTTGTCTATCTTTTGGTCATCAAGTCGCGAGCTTTCAGCCTGGTCCTCTTGGTTCATTGTTTGCTGAGTTGTCATGCTGGTTTCATGTACTCGCGAGCTTTCAATCTGCTCCCTTTTGTCCATCATTTGCCGGCTTGTCATGCTGGTAATTAACTGCTGCTCATCAACTCGGGACTTATCAATATGTTCTTCTTGGTCCATCGTTTGCCGGCTCATCATACTTAACTGCCTCCCACCATCAACTCGTGACTTTTCAGTACGTTTCCCCCTGTCCATCTTTAGTTGGCTCCAGATGTGCATTATAAAATCCAGCAAATTACGTTCCTCCTTGTCCATCTTTAGTTGGCTCAAGATGTGCATCATAAAATCCAGCAACGGAAGCACGATGATCATATAGTTCTTATATTCCATGATGATACGGATTAAAATAGATGCGAGGGCCACAAAGAAGATAGCTTGGGGGACCATTTTCCAGACGATCACCCATAGCATTACAACTGTGGTGATGGTGATAGAGGAAATACTAATTCCTTGCAGCATGAACCAAGTGCCCTCACCACTCAAGCCAACCATCCTGAGCGCTAGGGCAAGAAGAACCGGGGACAACATATTCACCAGGCGATCAGCAAACTGTAGCCACATATGCTGAGAACTCATGGCCTCCTGGAGTGTGAAGTAACACACAAGTTAGAGCACTGCACTACGTGAAAAACACACAATAGTCCGCGAGTATACGATGAAGTAACACACAAGTTAAGCATTGGACTACATAAAAAACGCACAATAATAGTGCCTAGAGCAAATGTAATGATGAGCACTTGAGGCGCTTTTTAGTGACAGACGCAAATAACGTGCATCACTTTTTATGACTATCAGATCAAGGCCCGAGGAAAGTCCGTTACCTTTGATGCCTAAAAGTTGAGGGGCTATAACAAATTAACAATACATAGCCATCACTGTAAAAAATAAGTGGCAACCAATATACCACGGTTCATCACTTTTACTAGTCTGCAAAGCAACGGGGGTCTTCATAGAAAAAGTCGCGAACTGAGGATTATGACCATTGCTTTTTCACTTCATGTAAGGTCAGGCTTTGGTCTCAAACCATCACTTGTCTCTCTAGCTAGCCTCTGCAACATGTATTTGAGAAGGGATCCATTTGAGAAGCATATACCCTCTCGCCCCATCCATTCAAAATGGCTAACTCACCAAGCCTTAGCATTGGTCCGCCATGCGTCGACCTCCTCCATGTTGCGCTGGCCCTCCTCGGCCAGTGACCTATGTGTTGACACTAATCAGGTTATTACATCGGTAAGGAGCTAGATAGCTCGATAGAGATGTGCCGAAGATTAGTCTGGCCAACTTTTACGTCGACCGTTGCCTAACAGTGTATACATAGACTAACACTTTACCTAGTGTCTACACCGACGAGCACTGGAGACACAAGATATGTCGCCAGAAGAGCATCTAAGGGACGCGATGCACAATACACGGCAACAGGGTCTTTTCAAACCTAAAACCCTACACATCCAGGAGGATCCAGTTGGGGCGTGCTGTGGTGATAGGCTTCCACTACTACGTTAAATTTAACCAAGGCGGGCCATTTGGATTAACGGAGGCGGGCAAACCATCCGCCTCCGTCAAAAGGTCACGGTTAATCCGTGACAACGGAGGCAGTTGCTTTGCCCACCTCGGTTAAACGATTAACTGAGGTGGGCGCCTTGCAAATACCCGCCTTGGTTAATGGAATAAAAAAACAAAAAAAGCCCAAAGCCCGCCGGTGAGCCCATTTGCAAGCCCACTGGCGAGCCTGTTTGCAATCGCGGCGCCAGCGCCCTCCACCAGATCTGCCGCTCGCAGATCCGTCGTGCCCTCCACCAGATCCGCCGCTCGGGGAGTCGCCGCTCCCTGATCTGCCGCTCGAGTGCCTCCACCGGATCCGCAGTGCCCGCGCCGCCGCCGGCCCGCGAGGTAGCGCCGCTGCCTCGCCCTCCACCGGATCCACCTTGCCCATGCCACCACTTGCGTGTTCCACCAGATCCGCCGAGGTGGGGGTGCCGCCCACTTGAGGTAGAGGTGGCACCGAGGCGAAGAAGCTCGGGGCAAGCGCACATTGGCCCCTTGCTCCAAGAGAGGGGGGGCGCCAGCCGTCGCGGTTGGAGGAAGGGAGAGGGGCATTGTCGTGGTGGGAGGAAGGGAGATGGGCGCCGTCGAGGTGGAGGACGGGAAGGGGCGGTGGTAGTGGAGGAAGGGAAGGGGCACTGTGTGAGAGGTGGCCAGTGGGAGGAAGGGAAGTAGCGGTGGGAGGAAGGGAAGTCGCGGTCGCAAGGACGGGAGAGGGCGCCGTCGCGGTGGGAGCTAGAAAGGAGAGGAACGAGTGGGCTATGGTTTCCTCATTCGCTTATATACTCTTACTTGCTAGTGGGCCTTAGATTGGGCCAATATTAACACAGGCAGGCCTTATAGTGTGCCCGCCTCCGAAAATGAATTTACCCAGGCGGGCAACCTTAAATACCCGTCTCGGATAATATCAATTAACCGAGATGGTTGTTTTAAGGCTTCCACCTCAGTTAATGTATTAATTGAAGCGATTTTCTTAAATTGCCCGCCTCGGTTAAGCATTAACCGAGGCGGTTGCTGGGTCGGCTGCCCTGCCACGGATAACCGAGGTGGGCAACCGGCCCAACCACCTCGGAGCCTATTTTGGAAACGCCTTGCAAAAGATTTTGTGTAGTAGTGTACCCAAGATGGCCTAGCCGCTCGAGAGCTTTGCCATCATTGGACCACCAGCCATGCATTAGTAACAATGAACGAGGAGCAGTAGTAGATGGGAAAAGAGAGGATAAAAGGTGTAGCGGATGTATTTTTTGTTGATTGGATAGATAGATATTCAATCAGCCGCAATCATCTCCTATAAATAGAGGGAATTTTTTTCTTTGAAAACTCATCCGATCTTGAGTCTTCAAAGATAAAAAAAACATGAAATTGGGTTCGGACTACCAAAACCGGTCTAAGCCGATTTACACTACACCGCAAGGACTCATGCAAAACCAGCCTCAGTTTAGTCTACACAAACCAGCCTAGACTGATTTTTTAGGATGTTGCCAATTGTACCCAAATTACTCTTCACTAATACAGAATCGATCTTCAGTGCCGGTCCATCAATGCCGGTTGCTAGTGAACCGACTGTGATAACTCTTCATTGCTGGTTCTTAGCTTTAAAGTGATAAAATGATTGGAGGTCCCCAAAAAACGACAGTAAAGTTCACGTCACTGCCGGTTTGTGGCTAGAACTGGCAGTAAATTGACGGTGGCATACCACTACCGGTTCTAGCCACAAAACAAAGGTAGTGATGTGAAACTTCACTGCCAGTTTTTAGGACCCCAACCATTTTCTGTCTTTGATGCCAAGAATTAGCAGTGAAGAGTTATCACTGCCGGTTCACTAGCAACCGACACTGATGAGCCGGCACTGAAGATTGATTCTATAGTAGTGTTCTATGATAAAGTTATCGTTTTTGTAATAAACAATGCAATGTATCATTGATAAGAAAAAAATGTTGTTGCATTTATGAATAAATTGATCATGGCATACATGTGTGTACTATCACTATTATCAATGCTATTCCCACTATGACTGCACGCGAGAATAGAGAAGCGGTAATGATATATGTTGGGCGTCCGACCCTTCACTTCACCTCTGGACATGGCTCGCTCTCCTCCACTCGCTCGCGGTTTATCCTTATCCGCTTGCCCCACGTCGCTCAACCTGCTCCATACGGTGCGCCCCCGCTTGGGTAGCAACGAGATGCTCGCCGCCGCTCCCTCTCGAGCCATTCGTGGCGCCGCCCCCGCTCACAGTAGCAACGAGCCGCTCACCGGTGCTGCCCCCGCCTAGGCCGCTCGCCGGCACACCCCTCCCAAGCTACTCGCGCGGCGCCACCCCCGCCTCACCGCTCCTTCCCTGACCTCGGCGTCCTCCTCCGCGGTGGCTCCTTCCCACACCTCGGCATCCCTCCTCCCCCACCCCAATGGCGCCCCTCCCCTCCCTCCCCCACACCAGCGTCCTCCCCCGCAAGGAGCTCTGTACGCCTGCAGATCCGGTGGCCATGGTGCTCCCCGCGCCAGGCTCTCTTCTCTCCCCCCCCCCATGTTGCAATTGTGTCTTTCAATTGTTTCAGAAGCTTTAGAGGTATGTTGCAGTAGAATCATATGGTTGATTGCAAAAGTAGATCTGGCATGTTGCACTTTTGTTGATATGTTGCAAGTGTTTCAAAGGATTGTTGCAAGCACTTTGTTCAAAATGTTTCATGTGTTTCTACACGATGTTGCAATCGTTTCTGGTCTGGTTGTTTTCATATGGTTCACTCAATTGTTGCAATAATACTTTCCAAATTGTTTCAGTTGCTTTCAGTCTTATGTTGCAGTAGTTATTCCACGTTGTTGCAAGTGTCTTTTATTTGAGCATTGTTTCATATGCTTTCAGCGTAATGTTGCAGCGGTTGTTCATTGTTGTTGCAATAATATGTTCATGGTGTTTCAGCTGCTTCAGCCTAATGTTGCAGCAATTGTTCCGTGTTGTTGCAATAATATGTTCATGGTGTTTCAGTTGCTTGAGCCTAATATTGCAGTAATTGTTCTGTGTTGCTGCACGTTTTTATTCCAGCTTTCTATGTTGTTCGGCCGGTGTTAGTGTTTCGAGTAAGCACCAATGAGTAAATTTGTATATTGCACGTCTAACCCGGATGGTGTGCTAAGAGGGCACAAGGATTATACTGGTTCGGGCCAAATGTTCCTACATCCTGTTTCGAGCTGCTCGTGTTACTAGCACTGAGTTTGCAGTAGGGGTTTACCAACTGGCAAGAGAGGGAGGTAGCTCCCAAGCCTCTGAGGTTCGGTGTGTTTGTTCGATGAGTCGATCCTCGATGTGGTCTGGTGAACCGATGTAGTGTGATATGTGACGAGCTGATCGACGTCCCCTAGTGGGATGCCCTGCTTTCCCTTTTATAGACCAAGGGAAAGCTGGGGTTACAGCCGAGGGGAAGAGGAAAAAAACTGAGAATGGGAGGCCGAGGAAGTCCTTCAGAGTCTTCAATCCTTTCCTTTCCTCCGTGTGGGCCCCGCTAACATGGCAGGCGGCGACAGGGATAGCCCCATGCTGGGCGCCTATCCGCTGACACAGCCATGCCCTAGCATTTGTCAGCGGGTCGTCACGTCCCGCTTCGCCCTGGCGGTCGGTGCGGCGAACTAGTCGTGTTGATCGGTGGTCGTACGGGGAGTGGGCAGCATAGTGACCTCGCGTTTGTCTGTATAGGCGATATGAGTTCCCGGGAATGACATGTCATGAGGATGGGTCATATTGAGATGTGATCGCTTCCTGCATGATGTCAGAAGTTTGACCCTCGACAGTGCTTTCTGGCCTGTAGTGGTTGGCAGCGGCGTGAGCTTCTGTTGCGAACCGTGTCCGAGGGATCAGCCGAGGCGGAGCCAGCCCTCAGACGTTGGGCGAGGCGGAGCCAACCCTTGGGGATCGGATGAGCGCCGAGCCAACCCTTGGGACTCAGCTGAGGTGTTCCCATCCCACGGGGGTCGGGCGAGCGTGGGGCCAACCCCTAGACATCGGGCAAGGCGGTGCCAACCCTCAGGGGTCGTGCGAG